AAAAAAAAAAAAAAAAAAAAAAAAAAAAAAAAAAAAAAAAGATAAGATAAAAAGATGCTGTTTAAAATATTTTAGGTTTTTGACCACTTCCGGACAGAACAAATTGCTTGCAGCAGTGACACAGTTTTTGGAGGTGCTGCCTCTGGAGTATCCCATAGCAATCAGCTCTTTTCCTTCCGACTGGCAGTATGGAGAGAAGCTGGGAGGTAACAGCCCTCCTTGGTGTGGTACCTTTGCTATGGGCCTGTCATTCCTACAGGCCAAACCCAAACTGGTATGCACTCAGGGTTGTTTATTTTAGCGGAAGTTTGCATAAGGGTAAAGAGGTTACTGCAAACAGTGTTGCCTGGCTCTGCAGATTGCGCTGCAACAGTGTTATTTCCAAATGCGTCACTTACAGGATTGTGGTTTGTCCAGTAAACAAAATCTAACACAACTGGGTTCTCACCAAGTATTGCTTAGCATTTAACAACACCAAGGTATTCCCCTTGCCCTAACTATTGCATATCTTCTAGTAATGTAAGGAACGTCTATTTGATACAAGTCGTTTGCATTCCTCCCTGCCCCCCAGGAGGTGTAACTGAGAGCGTGTGCAGATCAGTTTTGCGGTGGAGTGTTTTTTTCTTGGTAGTTAGCTCTAAGAGATCTTTCAGAAGCCGCCACCTTCTTGTGAAAATGAGAGCGACTACCCATGACTTGGGGTTGTGCCTTCTGGCTGGCAACTGTAGCTGTTTGGAGTTTCCTTGTGTAATAGACGCAAACCAAGAGAGAGCAGTGTGTTTGGAGGGGTTTTGTTTGTTGATTGGTTATTCTTATGAAAGCACTGCTTTGCTGTGCCCAACTTTGTGCTCCTTTTTGGGCTGTAGCAGCACTTTTAGGCTGGCAGAAGTGGCAGCTTTGAATGTATTTCTTACTTACCCACCATCTGAGGTTTAATTCATGTGTCAGCTGAGTTCTGTGCAAAAGTCTGAGATCATAGAACAGCTTAGGCTAGAAGGGACCTCAAGATCATCAAGTTCCAACCTCTTGCTGTGGCCAGGTTGTCGACTTTAGATCAAGCACTAGATTGGGATGCCCAGGGCCCCATCCAACCTGGCCTTGAACACCTCCTGGAATGGGGCATACACTGCTCTCTGGGCAGCCCACACCAGCACCTCATCACCCTCTCAGTGAGAAGTTTCCCTTGACATCTGACCTAAATCTCCACTCCTTTAGTTTAAAATCATTACCACTTGTCCTATCACTATCTACCCATGTAAAAAGTTGATTTCTTTCCTGTTTATAATGTCCCTTCATACACTGAAAGGCCATAATGAAGTCTCCCTGGAGCTTTCTCATCTCCAAAACTCCAAAGCAAGTCCAGCTTCTGCAGTCTGTCTTTATAGGAGAGGTGCTCCAGCCCTCTGAGTGTTTTGATGCCCTACTCTGGACTCTCTCCAAAAGCATGACATCTTTCCTGTGCTGGAGGCCCCAGGTTTGGATGCAATACTCCAGGTGGTGCCTCTTGAGAGCAGAGGAGAGAGGGACAATTACTCCCCTCATCCTGCTGGGCACTCCTCTTCTGATGCAGCCCAGGATTACAGCTGGCCTACGGGCTGCTGGCTTAAGTTCAGCTTTTCATCCACCAAGACCTGCTTGACAGGACTGCTCTCAAGGAGTTCTTCCACTCTGTAATCATATCTGGGATTGCCCTGACCCAATTACAACACCTTGCACTTGGCTTTGTTGTACCTCATAAAGTTCCCATAGGCCCACCTTTTGAGTATATCAAAATCCCTTTGGATGGCTGCATAATTTTTTCTACCAGCAGATGTCCCTGCGTGTTTCCTAATATGCAAATTGGGAGCAGATTTCAGAAGAATCAAACTCAAGAAACAGTTACCATGTAGCAGCCTGAGTTTTTTGGCTTCTTTGCAGCTCTACCTTTAGAAATGTAAGATTTTGAATCTAAGGTGAAGTTGTTGACCTACTCACTGCGCTGTTCTGATTTGTGCATTGGGTTTTATTGTTGTTCCGTGCTTGCATGCAGGCACTGATCATAAAAAATTCTGTTAAAAATAGCTGCAAAAATGGCATAAGGAGGAGTTTAAACATATTACTGCAGTGTTCTGGTTTTGGGAATTTATATTCAAGCCTTAATTGGCATTCAACTTTCTTTCTCACCCAGAAGCCTACTTGAACAGATTAAAACTGACTCCATCAGGGTATTATGATATTATGAACATTTAAATTTTGAGAAGGCCATCACACTTTGTCTCTTAGATGAAGGAAAGATGTCACAGTGAAATAAGCACAAACCTGGGGTCTGTGCATTGTATTGGTCTGAACTTCAAAACATTGAATCCACACTTGTGTTCTGGGGGGAAAAGCGTGAGATCTGACTTGCTTTCTACCACTTTGTTCTTTGGTTACACATTGTTGGTGTTTGGTTTTGTTTTGTTTTGTTTTTTCTTTCCTAATTAAAATATATTGTTTTTTTTAATACTCAATTTCATTTTGGTTTCTGTGTATTGGTGATTATTTAACAATTTTTTTTTTATTTTTTTTTTTTTGTGCTAAAATTGGGCAATTTAGATTAAAACAATATAATTTAACCGAAGTGCTTCCATCAAACTTAAATTCTCCTTTGACCTGTAATGCACTTTAGAACATTGTTGCATAGAAGACTTACACCTGGAGTACATTAGTGAGCTAGATGTAGGATCTCTAGAAATTTAGAATGGTAATGAACTCAATACAATTGTCTTCATCTCTTAACCTTGCATTTTCTGGTTTTGAGTATGTTGGCTGTTCTTCAGTAGACAATAGATTTGCCCTAAAGTCCAATTTAAGGAGGATAACAGTTGTATTTTGGCAACCTGATTTGAATGAGAAGGGAAGAAAATGTGAGAGAATATTAGTAATGATCTTCAGTGACTGTGTTGGCTTTTACGTTGCACTGTGATATGGCCTCTTTGTAAAATCTCAGGATTGCTCTTCACCCTTTCTAAAGTGCTACTGATAAGCACTTAGGTTGGTGGTAATAGTGAAAGGATCTTGGACAGATGATGTGGTAGCAGGGCCCTGAGTGGGCCCAAACACCCTGTCGGCATGGCAGCATAGAAATGGGAAAGCAGT